GCTGTCGATTTTCCCCATATAAGGAAGTTATTGCTGGCGCTTCTTGGCCTCTCATTGGTCTAACGAATAGACCACTTGAATTCGACCAATGAGGAGCCAAGAAGTAGCAGCATGCTCACAGCGTGCTGATAAATAAACGGGGTGCGAACAGAGCTCAGGGCCGGAAGGATGATAGAACAGGAATTGAGGGAGACATTGGTCTGGGCGGGCACCTTGGTGAGTCACCGCCCACCGGGGCTGAGCCTGTCCAACAGGACAGGCCGACTAGCCCCCCCCCCCCCAAGTGCTCACTGCACCCGGTTACGAGCGTGCTTGATTAGGAGCTGCAGTGCGCTCCAATGGGAGCCGCCCGCATGGAATAAAGTTGCCCGTCCAGGTCCAGCCCGGATCAGGGGTTGCGGCATGGAGGAGAAGGATTTGAATGTCATGAGGATGGAAACGGCGAAACGGGTGTTGAAAGAGCTATTAACTACGCTTTTCCCCGGCACTGTAGCTCCTCATTTCCGAGTCATGCGATGGTTTGTTGAAAATTGTCGAAATTGGATCTGAAAATTGGCGAAATTTGACCTTGGATGACCTATGTGAACTGACCTTTGACCTGATCTAAAAAGTGACCAGGGTAATTTCGTCATTATTGTTTGCGGCCCTTCAAACGCTGCCTTTGGCGTGTCGTGGCTCAGAAGCCGAGTTAGAAGCAGGGGTGCGGAGCTGGAGCTGCAGAGCCGCCGGAGCCGGCATATTTTGCCCGGAGCCGGAGCCGTGAAAGAATATAGCCCGGAGCCGGAGCCAGAGCCGGAGCATTAAAAAAAGGCGGCGACTCCGGCTGCTTTTTTAACCCTCGCCCCGTTGGAGGGGGGAGGGGCCATTTTGCCCCCCCCCTGTGGTTTTTCCTGAAAAATTTTCAGTACCTTCCCGGGCATCAATTTGACACCTTCACACCAAATTTCAAGTCTTAGGTCACCTTAGGTCAGGAGTTATTGAGGTCAAACTGAGGTCATGTTCGAGCAAAAATGAGCAAAAAACATGCAATCTTGAAACGTTTACCAAATCTACAGTTATCAAGCAATTTCAAAGTTCTTTATATGGTCTAGTAGACAAAAAGCGGCGCTACAAAACAGCTTTCTCGGATTTTCTAAATTTTGGGTTTTTGACCAAAAAAAAATTAAAAATTTGATTTTTTTTAGAAAAGCTAAAAAAACATCCAAAATGTTTCCGAATTTCAAAAAAGCCGGAATATATGTGATAGTCCCTGCGCTCTTCTATGTACATACCAAATTTCAGATCGATATCTCGTTTTTTGGCCAAGTTCTAGAGAAAACACTGTTCAAAAATTATGACGTCAAATTTTTGAACTCAATTTTTATCGATTCTAGACCACGTACGGCAAAACAAAGACCACCATTGAACTCCCCGTGACGAGCTGCATCGATTCGATACCCATTATATGCAAAAATATTTACTTTGAAATTTGACCTAATTTGACCTGACCTTGACCTGACCTTGACCTGACCTTGACCAAAACGTGACCTAATCTGGCCCCAAAGGCTGCCTGACCCACATAATCGCATTTGTCATGTAAAATAGACCATAAAACATGTATCACACGACACTTTCATATTGTGACCCCCCAGTGACCTGACCTCTGTGACCTGACCTGGTATCAGTGACCTCAAATAGTAAAATATGTGTTTGAAGAACATTTCCCCATCGATGATTTCCAATGAAATGCATTTTACTCGATTTTACAACGCATTTCTTGAAATGCCTGTAAACGATGAAAATTGGACCTTTGACCTGACCTGTGACGTCATCAGTTTGACCTAGGTCAATAAAATTGGGTCACAAGGTAGTTCCCTGATAGGGCTATCCAACACCGTTTGCCGCTTGTCGCTAGGTTGCGTGGTTCTCGAGATCTTAGGGTGGGGGCCAAAATGCCCCACCCCCCAACAGGGCGCGTTGCTCGGCAGAGCCCAACGGGGCGCGGGTTAAGAGGAAAAATTATTGACCTAGTTCGGTTTGACAGTACAAGGCAGTAAAACATGTGGTATTCAAAATAGCCTTGCTATGCCTTTAATGGGCTCCTGATAGCCCATGAAAGGCTTAGCAGATCGCTTTGTGCTATAACATTGAGCTTTAAACAAAATAAGCATGCTTATTTCATAGCCTGCCCTCAGAGGGCCCTTCTGGTGGTCTTAAAGGACCCTCAGGCCTCAATCGACCTCAGATGGACCTTTGCTGGCGTCATAAGGTCTCCGTTAGCCTGAAAGGGTCCTCCAATAGTCCCAAGGGGCCTTCTATTCTCCTTAAAGCCCCTGAGTCAGCCTAAGAGGGCCATTCAGTGGCCTCCGAGGGCACTCTTTGTCCTCAGAGGGCCTGTCATACGGCTCAAGGACCAAGGTGGTCTGAAATAGCCTTCATTTCTCTTCTGAGGGCCCTCCAATGCCCTCAGAGGGCCCTATATTTGCATCATTACACCTCTTTGAGTCCTCGGAGAGCCCTCTTTGAGATGGCTGAGAGGGCCCTCTTTGATCTGAGATGGCCTGATGACCTCGTAGGGCTCATGTGGTGGCCTGAAATCACCTCAGCAGGCCCTCCAGTGGCCTCAAAGGGTCCTGTTTTTGCATTAGAGGGCTCTCTGTGGCTTCCGAGGGCCCTTTTTGATCTCAGAGGGCCTTCTTTGATCTCAGAGGGCTTTTTTGACCCTTTCGAGCTGTCTGAGGGGGCCCTCTGGCCTCTGTTTGCCTAAAAGGGCCCTCTATTCGCCTCAGAGGGCCCTCTGTTCGACTCCGAGGGCCCTCTGGTGACCTCAGCGGACCCTATTTTTGCATCAGAGGTCCCTCTGTGGCCTCCGAGAACCCTCTTCGATCTCAGAGGGCCCTCTTTGAGGTGGCTGAGAGGGCCCTCTGTTCGCCTCAGAGGGCCCTCTGGTGACCTCAGGGGCTCTATTGTTGCATGAAAGAGCCCTCTGTGGCCATCGAGGGCCCTTTTTGATCTCAGAGGGCCCTCTTTGACCTCAGAGGGCTTTTTTTGACATGTTCGAGGTGCCTGAGGGGGCCGTTTTTATCTCAGAGTGCCCTTTTTGACCTCAGAGGGCTTTTTTGACATCTTTGAGGTGCCTGAGGGGGCCCACTGACCTCTGTTTGCCTCAAAGGGCCCTCTGTTTTCCTAAAAGAACCCCCTATTCGCCTCAGGGGACCCTCTGTTCGCCTCAGAGGGCCCTCTGGTGACCTCAGGGGGCCCTACCCTAGTAAAAAAATCCAATTGGATTTCAGAATGTCATGTTAAAGCAATGGGATGTCCTACTGGATCAGTATCAGTCCTATTGGACTGAAGTGAATCCAATTGGACTTCAGTGTTAATCCAACTGGATTGGAGATAGTCCAATAAGTTACATATTAGTCCAATTGGATCTGCTTGGTCATCCAACATGATTCAACTTCACCCGCGCCGTGTTGGTAGGGGGGACGTTTTTACGCACCATTCAGGTTCTTGGCACAGCTTATCACACATCTTTTCCGTATAGTAGGCACAATTCCAACCCCAGATCATCAAAGATCAGATCACCAAGTCAAGTGACCCAACCTCCGAAAAATCGAAGATGTACGCGCCTTGGTCACATTGTTTTTGAGCCCTGGAGGCCAAACCGTTGACATGAGGTCAAAACCGACTGCTTTTCCAGGTAAGTCTGTAAGTGGCTATCGTTCGATGCCAAACGAACAACCCATTTCCCATTTCCCATTTCCCACACTGACACAGTTCCCTACGATGTCAGAAGGTTCCAGGACAATAGTGGCCGCTTTCGGGACATACTCCATAATGTGGTTGACTAGTGGAAAAGCCTGCTTTCCTTCGCAACGTGAACAAAAGAAGAGGCACCTCACGGTTGAACTCTTTAGTGACCTGGGTTGAACTTTACCTATATAGCACGCACAAACGCCACTTGATCGCCAAGAGAACGCGAATTGATCCCTATAAAAAAAAATCGATTCACTTCATAACTCCCTAGTCCCTTCATAACCCGTCATAACATTCTCAGCTTAATTTGAAGCATCACTACTGTATTATTCGGGGACTAAAGTGTACATTTGTGCGCTGTGATGATCTTTTAGAGACTGTACCGACTGGAATTTAGCGACCACCCAGGTGAAAAAATCTTACAAGATCTTACAAGAATCTTCTCGATCTTGCAAGATCTTATATGATTCTGAGGACAGTCTTCCAAACTTAGGAAATCTTGTACAAGACTGTCCCAATCTTGCAAGTTTCTTGTAAGAATGCGGTGGTTTCCTTGCAAGAATCTTTCTTGCAAGATTCTGGCAAGTCTGTTCGTTACTTGTAAGATTTTTTAACAGCTCGCTTATCAGTCATGACCATTGATAAGCCTCATACTTTACTTAACCCGCGCCGTGCTGGTGGCCTGAACTTTCCGCCGAGTGCTGGGGGGGGGGGCGTTTTCACGCCCCCCCCCCGTCTTACTCGGCTCCTGGGCCACGTAGCGACACGCGGTAAACGGCAATCGAAAGAGCTTCAAAAATAAGGAAGAAAACACTTCAGTCATTTTTAAGGTCAGGTCAAAGGTCAGGTCACCAGAGGTGATCGAAGGTCAAATTTAGTCCATTTCGATAATTTTGGAAACTGCCAACGGCCAACTCGGGAACCAATAGAGCTACAGCGCCGCGGAAAAGCGCATTCGATATCCCTTTTACCGTCATTTATGTAGAGTGTTCTCAGATTTGACCTCAGGTCAACGGTTTAGCCTCCAGAGGCCAAAAACTGTAAAAATAGCCGTTTTCACGAAAACTGTTTTTCGGAAATAACTTTTGACTCAAGAAAGCCACGACATTACTTTTGCCTGCATCGTGTTCCTCTCGTCGAGACGCGTCGAATAAACTATTTGATGACCTTGAAAGGTCATTTTGATTTGAAAGTGGTGATCAAGTTCAGAGACTGTACCGACTGGAATTTAGCGACCACTGTCCGTTTTAGAGGCCGTACGGTCGGCGGCGGGCGCCCCGATCCTCGCCTGGGGCGGAGACGCCGCGGGAGAGGGGAGCGCCGAGCGCGCGTCCCCTCCGCCACATTCCGTCCGTCCCATTCAGTGCCCGCCCGCGATGTGCGGACGGCCGACGGGGATGTCGAGTGTGTGCCGTGCGGTGTCAGTGTCGTCTGCCGTCTCCTCTTCCGACCTGAAGGTAAGTTTCTGCCATGCTGTATTGCTGTGTAATAATAAGAAAATTGTCCTCAATATTTGCAGCATTACAGACACAAAAAAACAACAACAACGCCGAAACGTTCACTCAAAAATAGCTGATCGCCTGTCATTCTTTTGCATGCCACAAGGGGAATAGTGCTGACGGTAACGTCATACGGTGAAACTGGGCCCAGGGATGGTAGATACGTGAGGATGATAGCTATATTATGCTGAATTATCTTTAACTGAAAATGAGCCCCATCAATTCTAGTTTTCTGGCTCACCTTTTCACATCTGGCTTTTGATATTACCTGATTATATAAATGACATTTCATTTCAGCATTTGAGAATCTCGGCTCACCAATACTATGCGATGCAAGGCTCGACGGGCGACATCCTCGCTCAAGATGTGTACGAGTATAGCTGGATGCAGACGGAACGGCGGCCTCGACGACAATGGTGACATGACGTGACGTCAACGTGTGATGATGTGATGTGACTGTGACGTGTGGATGACTCGAACAGTAAAGGGCTGTTGATATGTGTTCTCAGCTCTACATTTTTTATGAATACATATTGATTTTGACGTTTACGCTGGCACATTATCCATTTCGCTTTGTGGATTTCGTACTTACACATGGGTCTCGACATGAATACAATCGAAACAATATCTGAGGGCAACGATGTGTCTGGAAGTCTTGTAGGTTTGCCAGAGTCTGGTACAAGACTTGCTAATTATCTAATTATGATATGCTTAATTATCTTTAACCGAAAACGAGCCCCATCAATTTTACTTTTCTACTTAACAGCACTATCAAATTGTATGTCAAATTGGATCCAATTGGATGTCTACTTGGATATCCAATTGTATCCAATTGGATGTCTAATTAGATATCCAATCGGATCCAATTGGATGTCTAATTGGATATTCAATCGGATCCAATTAGATGTCTAATTGGATATCCAATCGGATCCAATTGGATGTCTAATTGGATATCCAATTGGATATCCAATTGGATGTCTAATTGGATATCCAATTGGATATCTAATTGGATATCCAATTGGATATCCAATTGGATATCCGATTGGATATCCAACTGGATGATCATCTTGAAAAGTCCGTTAGGAACTCAATCGGACAATCCATTTGGATCCAATTGGACTTTTTTACTAGGGTATTGTTGCATCGGAGGGCCCTCTGTGGCCTCCGAGGGCCTTTTTTATCTCAGAGGGCCCTCTTTGACCTCAGAGGGCTCTTTTCGACCTATTCGAGATGTCTGAGAGGGCCCTCGGGGTCTGCGAGGGCCCTCTGAGTGCCTGAGAGGGCCCTCTGAGTGCCTGAGAGGGCCCTCTGAGTGCCTGAGAGGGCCCCCTGGGCTCTGTCCCCCGTTCGTCTCAGAGGGTCCCTTTATTCGCCCCTTCAGAGGGCCCTCTGTTTGTCTCAAAGGGCCCTCTGTTTGCCTAAAAGGACCCCCTATTCGCCTCAGAGGGCCCTTTGGTGACCACAGGGGGCTCTATTGTTGCATTGGAGGACCCTCTGTTGCCTCCGAGGGCCCTTTTTATCTCAGAGGACCCTCTTTGACCTCAGAGGGCTCTTTTCGACCTATTCGAGATGTCTGAGAGGGCCCTCTGAGTGCTTGAGAGGGCCCTCTGAGTGCCTGAGAGGGCCCTCTGAGTGCCTGAGAGGGCCCTCTGGGCTCTGAGTGCTTGAGAGGGCCCTCTGAGTGTCTGAGGGGGCCCTCTGAGTGCCTGAGAGGGCCCTTTGGGCTCTGGCCCCCGTTCGTTTCAGAGGGTTCCTTTATTCGCCCCTTCAGAGGGCCCTTTGCCTCAAAGGGCCCTCTGTTTGCCTAAAAGGACCCCCTATTCGCCTCAGAGGGCCCTTTGGTGACCACAGTGGGCTCTATTGTTGCATTGTAGGGCCCTCTGTTGCCTCCGAGGGCCCTTTTTTATCTCAGAGGGCCCTCTGTGAGCTCAGAGGGCTCTTTTCGACCTCTTCGAGATGTCTGAAAGGGCCCTCGGGCCTGAGAGGGCCCTCTGAGTGCTTGAGAGGGCCCTCTGAGTGCCTGAGAGGGCCATCTGAGTGCCTGAGAGGGCCCTCTGAAAGCCTGAGAGGGCCCTCTGTGTGTCTGAGAGGGCCCTCTATGTGCCTGAGAAGGTCCTGATCGTTGTAAAGGGCCCTTAATTTACTCTACAAGGTCCCTCGTTGGCCTAAAGGGGTCCTCTGATAGTCCTAAAAGGGTCCCTAAAAATGTAATTGATACTTTTCATTATGTAAAAAAATGTAAGTGGTGAAAAGGGCCCTCAAAGTGTTTTCAATTTTTTTTTTTTTCGAGTAAAATTTTTTTTTCTCCAGGGGGGATCCTAGGACCCCCAGGCCCCAGGGTCCCCCCTTGGATACGCCACTGTTTCATAAAGAGCTTCTGTATTCAAAATATCCTCAGGAAACTCAAATCTTCCTCCACGCCGCAACCCCCTGATCCGGACTGGACGGGAAACTTTATCCCATTCCCATTTGGGATTGCCCGTAAGCCGAGCTCGCCCGTAGCCGGGTGCGGTGAGTGCTTGGGGGCTGCTCGGCCTATCCTTTGGTCAGGCTCAGCCCCGGAAACTCACCAGGGCCGGGCCCAGTTCATATAGAAAGGCCAGTCGGCAAGTGTCACTTTGCCAAAGTGCCACTTATCAAAGGGACACTTTGGGAAACGTTGGTGCAGGTGTGTAAGAGTGGCTATATGAATCCATTGTGGTGTCGCCCTTTCCAATAAGTGTCACGTAACAGCAATGGGACCAGGGACTCTATATGAACTGGACCCAGAGTGCTCGCCAAGAAGACCAATGTCTCGACTCCATCCTATGATCCTTCCGGCTCTGAAATGGTCTTGTCAGACCGAAAGGGCATAACCGAACAAAACAAACCAAATTCGTTAGCTGGCTGCGTGGTGTAGTGGTTAGCGCGCTAACCTCGCGTTCGAATGACACTGGGTTCGAATCCCATCGCCGGCTGATGCTTTTGGCGTGTTGTCCCAGTAAACATGCCGACGTCGGCGACTGGGGGGCTCGAATCCCGCCGCCGGTTGATATTTTTGGCGCGTTGTCCCAATAAACATGCCGACGTTGGCCCCGTCGGTCCAACGACAAACGATCTCGTCAACCTCGGCAAACGATCTCGGCCCGACGTCGGCTCGACGTCGGCTGGACTTCGGCTGGACGTCGGAACATGCGGGCATATCCGACGTCCAGCCGATGTCGGGCCGAGGTTGAACCGACGTTGGGCCGACGTCGGGCCGAGTCTCGGGCCGACGTCGTCATGTTTACTGGGAAGGTTGTGCGATGCATGTTTTATGGCCAATTTTTCATTTCCAACTCAATGGTGTTGGTCATAAGACTATCAGGTACGGGTTAGGTCGCTTTCTGGTGAAGGTCAGGTCAAGGTCAGGCATAGGCGTCGCCAGAGATTTTCGGTTGGGGGGGCAAAATCAACTTTTGTGTGAAATCTTGCCTTTCCCCAGTCGCTACTCACTCATTTTGCATATCATTCGACGCGCAATGGTGCGAGGAATCCGATGGTGACAAAGTTTTCCTTCTAGCTATGACATGTATGTTTTTACAGAAAAAAATCGAAATTTTGAAATTTGTGGACAAAAACGACCGGTAGAAATTCGTGGATGCGCAGCCGTGGGAATTTCAGACGGCTCCGGCTCCGGCTCCGGAAAAAAAAAATCGGTTCCGGCTCCGGCTTCGGGTGAAATGCCATGGCGGCTCCGGCTCCGGCTCCGGCTCCAAATGCTCAGTACGTCCCCTATACAGTTAAATACGGGTCGAAGAAAAAAGACGATGGGATTGGTGCAAGTTGCTTCTGTATTTGCATAACAGGGCTATTTTCATATTTTGAATACCGCATGTTTTACTGCCATGAACTGTCAAACCGAACTAGGTCAATAATTTTTGCTCTTAAAAAAGGAGCCGGAGTCGCCCCCTTTTTTGACGGCTCCGGCTCCAGCTCCGGCTCCGGGCTATATTGTTTCACGGCTCCGGCTCCGGCTCCGGGCAAAATGTGCCGGCTCCAGTTCCGGCTCCGGCTCCGCACCCCCGGGTAGAATTACAGTGGCTGCAATTGACGACGCACTGCAGAGGGTCCCTGTGCAGACTCTCGTCACTCATGATCATTACCCAGAAAAAGGTGGAAAAACACCCCATTTAATCGGATCACCCTGCTAAAACCTCCATTCACGCATGCATGCAGAGGTTTTACGTGAAATGCATAGGGCTTATCCCAGCCGCCGATTGTAGCTAAGTTGGGCATTCGGCGGAGACTGAGAGCGAATGTCGGAAGTGTGAATCGGAAGTAAATTAGTTGGTAATTCATCTTTGCTCCAGTGGGAGGAAGTGTTTTGTTCACTCGAGTGCGAACAAAAAGTTTCTTGTTTTTCGTGTGAAGGGAAGCGCTGCAAACGTGAACAAAAATGTTAAACGGAGCCAAAAGTTACGCACGGCATAGCGGCAATGGATCCCTTAGAGATAGGCTTTGGACTTCCAGGCCATCTCAGGCCACTCAGGGTCAGCGTGGACTCTCAGAAGCCTGCTTAGGTTCCCGGAGATCGGCGTGGGTCACCCCAAATATTTACGTGTATGTGGTGCTTTACGGCTTTCCGAGCCCAAGGTGGGGCCCTCAGAAGCCAGTGTGGGCGGCGGGCGCTAAGAGACTAGGCCCAGAGTGAGCCTAGAGCCCTCGGATAACTGTGAACCGTTGGGGTCTGTGTTGAATCCCTAAGGACCCTATGTAAGGACATAAGAAGCATGTGTTGCGGCCCATCAGATGCCGGCTGGGGTTAGCAAAGTCTGTCGCTTCAAAAGTTCGGCTGAACTGTCAGAGGCCAGTTAAGGTTCTCAGAAATTTTCGAAGGCATCCTAAAAGATTCGTGTGGCCCTTCAGAGGTCTACGTATGTATAAGGTCCTAAAAGATCCCTGTATGGGCCCTCAGAGAACATGGACACCAGTGGGACTCTCAGCGGCCGGTTTGGGCCCTCTGAAAGCTTTTTAGACATCAGTGGAGCTCCTTAGGAGCCTGTGTGGAAAGCAAGCTCATGAGCCCTGCGGCACTTGAACGGTACTTGAGCCTGTCGCAGACATTTGACGAGTCGAGAAAGGCCCCATAGATTTCGTGTCACGCTTTGAACGAAAATTATGTGTCAGCACTCCAAAACTTATGAAAATCAGCTATAAAATGTAATAAAGAACCAACTAAGAACATGGAATGAATCACAGCATTGACATTTCCGAGTCTGGAGTCGGAGTCTTGAAGATTTTGGGGACTGCGACTCTGACTTTGGTTTGAACTGCACGCTCCAACCGAGTCTGACCTTACAGACATTCTCAGAAAGGTACCCCTATTTTTTCCCGACTCCAAAATCTCATCGGATCTGTATCGATCTCAGGGGGTGCCCGGTCCGAGGTTGGGGGGGCAAGCTGCCCCGCTTGCCCCCCCGTGGCGACGCTAATGACTGGTCAGGTCAAAAAAGGTCAAATTTTAAAGTTGATAATTTTGCAAAAAATGGGTATTGATTCGATGCAGCTCGTCACGGGGAGTCTAATGGTGGTCTTTGTTTTGCGCTACGGAGTCTAGAATTGCTAAAAACTGAGTTTGAAAATTTGACGTCATCAATTTTGAGCAGTTTTTTCGCTATAACTTCGCCAAAAAAGAGGTATCAATCTCAAATTTGGTATGTGCATAGAAGGCGGAAAGAACTATCACATATGTTCCGGTATTTGCGAAAATCGAAAAGCTTTTTGGATTTTTCGGCTATTATATTCAAAAAATCTGTTTTTTTATTTTTGGGGGTCGAAATCCAAAACTTTCAAAAATCCGGGACGGCAGTTTTGTAGCCCTGTCAATTATACAGCTTTTATGTCTCTATCGTTTTTCTGTATTTGCAAAGCTATAGGCCTGACAGCTCTTTCCGCGAAATCCTTTTTTTGGTCGATAACGGCAGAACATGACGTCACTCTGACGTCATTTCCGGCCAACCTATCATGTCCTTTGGAAATTTTTTTGGTCACAATGTGTAAAATTGATGTCCGGGAGGGTAGTGAAAGTTTGGTGACGATCAGCGCAGCGGTTCTGGAGATATATCGAAAAGTCTGGAGGGGGGCAAAAAATAGCCCCCCCCACCAGGGCGCGGGTTAAGGTCCTAGGTCAGCCGGTGACCTCGGAGGTCAGGTCAAGTGTCCCAAGGTACGGTTCCGTTTTTGGTGAATAACTTTGCAAAAACGGCCGCAGAGCCGCAATTTTGACAGGCTCGTGTTCGCCTCGCTCAGGTGCGTCGAATGATATGCTTTTTGTCTGGGTGAGGTCAACTTAAGGTGTTGACCTCAGGTCAAGGTCAGGTCAGCGCCGCCAGGTCACAAATTGGTCGAAGATCATGTCGCATATCATTAGATTTAGCAGGTCTTCCTGAGTCCATTGGTGGCTTTCCCGACGCGCTAGCCTTAACCTTCGCCCCAGCAGTAGGGGGGGGGGGGGGCATATGTTACCACCCTGTTGCGTTTTTCGCGTGTGAATAAAAAGCCGCGGCGCGTAGCGCCGCGCCGCTTGGGGTAGCTTTTCGTACATCAATTTTGGACAATGTGTGAAATTTTTGACCCCAGGTCATGTCAGGTCAGGTCACCAGGTCAAGTTAACTGACCAAGCCTAAAAAAATGTTTGCAATCATGTCCAGCCTGCAGTGTTTGTCAGAGAGGTTTGAAACTTAGCAGATTTCATAATGTTATGGGCGCCTACAATTTGTATGTCTCGGATTTTTTATATCCGTGACCTGAGGTCAGGTCAGTGGCGTGACCTTTCCATTATAAGTCAATGGAGAAAAACGAAAATGCCTCTAGATCCGTGTTTACGCATAGGAACAGTCCAAATATTTCAGGATCACAATGATTTGGACCATCCGTGACGAACAAGGTGTAGTTTTTGCTGATAGCCTCTGGAAAGGTCATCCGAGGTCATTTGAGGCTACAAACAGTTTTTTTGCCAATAACTCTCGATCGGATAGAGATAGAACGCTGGGGTTGGCCTTATTGTGTTTGTTTTGCCGAGACGCATCGACTGATATGCAACATGACCTTTTCCGGTCAGGTCATGACCTTGACCTGAGGTCAAATTTTCAAGTTGACCTTTTAAGGTCAACTTATGGTTCTTTCGACGCGTCTTGGCGAGAGAAACACGATTCTGGCAACAGAAATGTCCTGGCTTTTTTTAAGTGAAAAGTTATTATCGAAAAACAGTTTTCGTAAAAACAGCCATTTTTTGAGTTTTTGCCCTCTGGAGGCTAAACCGTTGACCTGAGGTTATTTTTGATGCCAACTTTATCAGAAGAAGAGTTCAAAAGCTATCGATTGCTTTTCTAAGCGTTTTCCTAGCTATCATATTTCCTGAGATAATGGCATGTTTTTTTGAAAAATATAATGACAATTCGCAAATTTTGACCTTTGATGACCTCTGGTGATCCCAATATTGCTCTAATATGAAATATGACTGAAATACTTTCAAACGGACGCATCAAGAGCTATCGACTGCTTTTTACCGCGTCTTTCTAGCCCTCTTAGTTTTTTAGTTAGAGGTGGGTGGTAATATATGCCCCCCCCCCCCCCACTAGGGCGAAGTTGGCTGAGACCGCCACTGGGGCGCGGGTTAATTTGATCGGGAGTTATTGACGAAAAACTAATATGACCCTAATGATGTCATAAATGACGTCACGCAAGGTCAGCATTGCAAAAGTGACGCATCTACCCTGGCAGGAAGTGCATCAAATCACGATTCTGTTTGCTTGAGATAGTTTGAGATGGTTCCCGGCGCCAGACTAGCAGTTTTCATTTTTCCCCATTCCGTTCCGTTCCGTTCCGTTTATTGAATATAATTTGGGATCACACATTGAACAATTTATAATTTATGGCACTGTCAAACGGGATTGGTCGGATAAGGATTCAAGTGTTAGTTTTGTTAGAATACGGACAGTTAGTGTTAAAGGTTATATTGGGGAGTTTGACAGTGCCTAACCAGACGGTAACGCAAAGACGAGATCAAAAAGACGAGTCAGCGGTCGTTCCAGAGAGCGGCGACCCAGCACCGCCGCCGAGCGCAGCGGCCATCTGGCACCCGAGGCCTGTTCCTTGTTTACGCCTCAGGAACTGGACACGCAGCTACGCAACATGAAGTGTGGGAAGGCGCCGGGCCCAGACGACATCTGCGCCGAGCACCTGCGCCACCTGGGCCCGGGTGCCAAGACCACTTTCCTCCGACTGCTGAACCTGTCCTGGTCCACAGGCCAGGTACCGTCTGCGTGGCGCCGGGCGACCATCATCCCAGTTCCCAAAGCTGGGAAGGACCCAAAGATGATCGCCAGCCATAGGCCGATTGCGCTCACTAGCCACCTGGCGAAGCTGGCCGAGCGCCTAATCGCCGCCCGCCTCAACCATCTGGTAGAGCGCGATGGACTCGTGCCGCCCGAACAGGTCGGCTTCCGACGAGGCAGATCGGCTGAAGAGAACCTGGCAAGACTGGTGCAGCGGGTCCAAGATGGCTGGAACAAGCCGAAACCGAGAGGACGACCGGAAGAGGGCAAGACCGCGGAAAAGTTTGTACTCCTCGCCTTCGACTTCTCACGGGCGTATGATGTCATCGATCACAAGATGCTCCGCCTCAAGCTCCTCCGCCTGGGGGTGCCCAAGTGCATGTCCGCATGGATATGGGCGTTCCTCCGGGACAGGAGAGCTGCGGTCGAGGTCAACGGCGCCCGAGGAGGCGAGCGCCCGTTCCGGGCCGGACTCCCGCAAGGCAGTGTTCTGGCCCCAACGCTTTACACGCTGTGGTCGGCCGACCTGATCACGGCGCTCAAGACCGTGCCAGGCACAGACATCTTCATGTATGCCGACGACACGGCGACGCTCAGCAGCGGCGCCTCCATCGAAGAGGCCGGCCGCCGAGCCCAGCGAGCTGCGGACATCATCGCCAGCTGGGCATCAAGATGGAAGATGCGGGTCGCCGGCGAGAAAACACAGGCCCTCGTCCTATCCCAATGGGCCCGCGACGCGTCGAGCTTGAGCATCAAGGTGTCTGGCGCCGTGGTGACTGCCGGCCCCTCCCTCAGACTCCTGGGCGTGACCTTTGACCGCCTCCTTCACTTCGGCGCCCACTGTGCCGAGCTGCGCAAGAAGGTCCGCCCCCGTGTCGCCCAGCTGCGACGCATGACCGGGAGGAGCTGGGGACTGGGCGAACGCCAATTGAGGTCGGTGGCCAACGGGTACATCAGGGGGGCCTTAGAGTACGCGGCGGGGGCGTGGATGCCTGCGGCCTCCGCTTCACACCTGGAGCTGGTCGACAGGGAGCTGCGGGCGGCGGCCCGGGTGATAACCGGCTGCCCCGCCTCAACACCCGCCTTCGCCCTGCTGTCGGAGGCGGGCATGCCCGCCGCATGCACGCGCCGCTCGGTGGTGGCAGCCAGGCTACTGGGCCTGGCGATGTCCCTGCCAGAGGGCGACCCTCTCCGAGCCCTGGCGGAGTCGACCCCGCCGCGCCGCCTCAAGACGACGACCGGATGGAGGGACCGCGGTCGCGAGGCCCTAGCACGGGTCTGCCGCGGCGGCGCGCCGCTGACCTTTGAAGCGCGGCTAGCAACCGCCGGGCCGCCGTGGCGCGATGTCCCCGGTGTGACCATCGTCCTGGAGGTGGGTCCCGGGGGACGCCGCGACTGCCACCCGGACACAAGACGAGAGGCAGCGGAGAGCCGTCTGGCGGAGCTTCCGGCCGAGGCGACCTGGATATGGTCAGACGGCTCCGCCGCGGATGGGGTGCTGAATGGAGGAGGAGGAGCCACCATCATTTCCCCGAACGGCGACATCAGGGAGGTGCGTGTCGCGGCAGGCGCCCTCTGCTCCAGCACCCGCGCGGAGCTATTCGCCCTGAGAGCGGCGCTGGAGGAGCTCCTGAACATGGATGGCCGTGACACCTCCCTTCCGACTGTCGTCTGTACCGACTCGATGGCGGCGCTGGCCCTCCTGCGGAGCGGCCCGGCGACCCAGAGGACTCCGCTGGCCGCAGATATATGGAGGCTGCTGGCCGCGCTCACCGAGGGGGGCCAACCAGTAACCATGCAGTGGGTCCCTGCACACTGCGGGCTCCCCGGTAATGAGCGAGCGGACGCCCTCGCCCGAGAGGCCAGCGCCCTACCCCAACATGACACTCCGATCGACGGTGGCACGATATGCAAGGCCGTTGCACGAGACGCTGCGCGCGCCTGGCAGCGGAGCTGGCCGGACGGCTGGTACCGGGCGATATGGGCCGACCGCCGTCCCGGCCCCGTCCTGGAGGCCGACCGTGCCGTCGCGGTTGATATTCACCAGCTCCGAGCAGGACACTGGAGCGGCTCGGCGCAGTACCTGCACCGCATCGGCCGCCGTCCCGAGGCCGACTGCCCGCAGTGCAATGACATGGGCTGCCCTGCTGCACGATGCCGCGTCTGCCGCGAGGAGGCGGACACTCCACGACACGTCCTGCTCCGATGCCCGGCGCTGGCGGGACGCCGCCTGCGGCGCCTGGGTAATATTCACCTGGAAGCGTCTATGGCAAGGGACGACGGCGCGGTGGCGGCCTTGGCCGCCGGCTACCGCGCCCAATTGAGCCTCATCGGCTACGCCCCCTAGGGGGCTGGAGGGAACAACGACGACGACGATCTGGCACCCGGCGACAAGCACCAGCCGGGCCTAGGTCGATGGGGATGGTGCCCGCTCCACCGGCGGCGCCACCCCACAGCAGCACGATATTACAGCCAGCTGCCAAATTATGAGGGGGGGGGGGGTATCATCACCGGCTGCCTCAGCGGCTCCCAGGTGCCGGTCACCGCACATCAAATGGGCCGCGGCCGAGAATGCAGTCTAGCCGGCTGCCCCGTAGTCGTGTCCAACAAGCTCACTGGGACGTCGACATGAGCGTGTCGGTCGCACCGGAGAGCGGCGACTCAGTATCGCCGTTCAGCGCAGCATTCATCAGGCGCTCGACGCCCTTAGCCAGCCGGTCGGCAGTACCGCCTCAGAGATGGCGCCTGCTCCACTGGCGCTCGTCCCACCAGTGGCGCCACCCCATGGCAGCAAGAAGATGTAGCCCGTTGTCAAGTCAGGAGAGGGCCGGAGCCGTTGTCAAGTAGGTAAGTACAGGTGCACATGAGAAGTCCCAGCGGGAAAATGCCGCCCGCGCTGGGACAGCAGACAGCAGCCTTTGCCGGTCACCACAGCGGTCGCAAGGTGCCGGTCGTCGCACATCCAACGGGCCGCGTCCGAGAATGAAGCCATCGGGCTGCAACCGTGGGTAGCCGCCCTGTGCGCCACAAGGACGGCACCTCCTCAGGGAGCGGAAGCAACAGCCGCCATCCGTCGCAGGCCGCAGCAACCCACAGCAGCATGACGCCGGGCTTCGACCGGACCCTGTCCAGCCGTGTAGCTCAGCTGTAGGGGCAGATGGTCGGAGAGGAACGTTAGGAAGGGTTCAATCACATTATCGTTCAGGGGTCGGGAACGTAGGCAGGTACAAACTGGTACGATACTGGGGTAGGGTAGCCTGGGGCAAGACGCCCCAGATAATTTATTTTGCTACATAACTTTTGTCCTACATCACCTGGAAGGCCAAATTTGTGCTCAATGCATTCTTTGAACATTTTACTTTAAATTCCACCCCTCAAATTCATTCACTTATGATCGGGCTCCCAGATATGAAGTGATTTGTGAAGCAACTGCAAATGGGGCATTTTGCCCCAACCCCAGGGCAAAACGCCCCATGGCCCGGGGCAAGAAGCCCCATACTCTAGATTAAAGATTAAACATGCTAGTTGACCAAATCTTATATGAGAGGTCCGTTAGACCTCGGGAGGCACGGACTGAAGTTAGCACCTTTCATCCTATCAGGTGTTCAGCTATGACACTATTGTATGAACAGGTTTTTCACCTGCCTCATAAGGTCAAATAAGCCGTTTTCACGACGGAACTTTCGCAGAAGAACTTATTTGATACCTGAAAAGTACCTACTCTTTGAGGCCTTAACATCCCTCAAACTGAAATATTTTATGTTCAAAATAGTTTTAGAAGTTTAAATCCGGGCATTCCTTGCCCTCAAATCACTTATTTATTTACAAACACAGCAATTTTCGGTTCTAGTAGCCCACCTTTCGACTATGAGGTATCAAATCAGCGTGGCAACTTGCTCCCTCTTTGCTCCCTCGGGTATCTAATTCCGGAATTCTTAAAAACAAGGAAAGTATATATCGAGTTCTCTTTCATACCTATTCAGTTATGTTTTAATGGTGATTAAAATATGGCAAATTTTTTAATTACATTTCATATAAGAAAACACGCAAAACAATGAAACAAAAATAACTATGGCAGATAATTACCTTCAGGTATCTAATTCCGACCAATCAGCACCTCAGTAGGATATGACGTCATACAAGAATGGTGGTGAAGGCCGTTTGCAGTCCCGGCCGGTAGGTCACGTGACAGCCGGGCGCCTCGGGTCACGCGGCGGTCGGGAGTCGGACGCGGGGCGTGGTCGCGGGCGGACGCGCGGGGCATCATGCTTTGCTTTGCTTGCTTTGTCAACTTCATATAACTTACTATCGCATTCGTGTGAAAGCCAAACACTGCTCAGTGCCCTTAGAAATTGAGTTTTGGAAAGCTCAAGTCCCTATAGCTCCTCAGGTCGGCAACAGTTGAAGCCTCATCTGAACCCATGTGAAAAAAACGAGGGTAAGGAACCTTGTGTTGCTTTTTCTTTTACCGTCATAATTATCTCAAACCATCACAATTTTGAGTTGCCACATTGTCTGCTTCACTACATTCGTGTAAAACTTGGGTGAAGGCTGGTGGCTCAAAGAAAGGTGAAGATATTTCTTTAAGTGCCTAATCCGTGAAATATCCCGGCTTTACAAATCTACACTTTTCATTTTCTCCACGATACATTTTTTAAAATTGTTTAAATTTAATCTACATTTGTTAAAATCGGGGCTTTGGTTTTGTGTAAACTAGATCATAAAGTTTACTATAGTTTTGTGTAACCTGATGGCTGAAGAAAATAGTAATTTTGCTAAAATGATGTGCGGAAATTTGTTGCTTTCCAAATCAAATTACTCATACCTATATTTCATTCAAAATTAGGAGGCATTATTACTGTTTTTTCTTGTAACATGAACTGAGTTTGGGTACGGTGCTCCGGAAACGTTGTGGAACTTTAAGCTAGCTGCCAGTTTCCATAAAAATTGTTTAGATAGTTGACATGGCTTGTTGACAACTCTTTTGCTGTTTCTAAAAAAGTGAAAAAATATTTTCCTGCATTAAGCACACAAGGCATGTTATTCTCATAAGCTATCGAATGTGTGTGTTTTTTTTTAAGCTGTTTTTTAAGCTTTTAAGCTGTAACTTCAGTTACTTCACTTTAGAACATATTGCCCAGAATGCGTCACTGATCATGAGCTGGTATATCATATAATATGTAGCAAATACATAAATGAGAATAGTGTGTCATGAATTTTTGTGCATGCTTCTAGATCATCTGTAATTACATCAAAGGCTCGGCTCAAGAGTGTCCTGCCGACCAGCTTATGCCCAACCCTTTCTGTCCGCAGAACGTCGCCTGCGACTCCCGAACGCCGTTTGCCCCGGCCGTCCGTACTGGTCTTCGCGCTGCGAGCCGCGCTGGAGTTCGCGGCGGCGTCGTGGAGCTCCCATCGGGACGGCGTGTGATGCCCGCGTCGAGCTTATAAGCCGTGAGCTTCGATTGGCGGCTCACGCGGTCACCAGCTGTATGTACAGCCTCGGCCCCGACGACCCCGCTAATGGCCGAGACCGGCATACCCCCGGCATGGGTCCGCTGTCCGGCGCAGCGCTGGCCGCCCGCATGCTACTTTTGGCTGTATCGCTGCCCAGCGGGAGCGCGCTCCACGCTGCGGAAGAGGTACACGTTGCGACCCGACTGAGGACCGCAACCGGATGGTGACACGTCGGCCTCTGCGCCTTGGCCGGGGCAGGCGTGACCGACGTCACAGTAGAGGAACGCCCAAACAAGACCAGCCCACCGTCGGAGCAGCATGGAAATATCATGTTCTGCCTGGACGAAATGACCTTGACGAAATATATAAATATGGCAGAAAATGGGCAATTACATTCAACATAACAAAGACAGTCCAGCAAACATTTTCACGTAGAAATAATTTCACAGCACCACGTCTCACATTTGGTAGGAATCCCATACCCATTCATGAAAACCACACTCATCTGGGATTAACATTCTCCAATGACCTACATTTTCACCATCACATCAACAAAATTTGTAAAAAGGTCAACCATTCACTAAGCCCACTATATCCAATTGCACAGTACGTACCCAGGCCCATTCTCGACCAAATTTATAAGACGTATATCAGACCACACTTCGACTATTGCGACACAGTATACGACGGACATATCACGACACACGACGCCATGCGACTCGAGAGACTACAAAACAGAGCGGCAAGACTCGTGACAGCAACCTTATTTAGAACACCAACTGACAAGCTTTTACTCGACTTAGGGTGGGATAGACTATCGACGAGAAGACGCATGCATAGAATAACACTTTATCACACATTCAACAGCCACGAAGAGTACACACCACAATATATTAAAAATACAATGCCTCACACACGCGCTGAAAACACCGGACGAGTCTTAAGGAATGCCAGTACACATACAACGACACCTAGCCGGACCACTTCGTACCATAATTCATTTTTTCCATCAACGGCTAAACACTGGAATGATCTCCCCGAAACCATCCGATCCCTGCCACGAACATCCTTCAAAAAGACCATTTCTGAGCGGCTGGGGGTGACCAAGCCTCCAAAATTTTATGAAACTGGGTCTAAATTGGGAAATATTTTACACACAAGACTAAGAACCGGAATGAGTCACCTGAACTCTCATCTCTTCCAAATTCAAAAAAGTGAAACATCAATGTGTGCTTGTGGCTTTCCAAACGAGAACGTTCGGCATTATATCCTTGACTGTGCACTCTACGAACCACTAAGGCTAGAAATGTTTCAAACTATTTCTTATCAAATAGGTATTGAGCTAAATGAAATTTCTCCTAAGCAAAAACTTGACTTCCTTATTCACGGTGAAACTCTGGACGATGAGAGCGGCTGCGCGGTCGCACATCTCTTTCAAAAATTCATTTTATCATCAAACCGGTTTACAGAACACTAAATTCAACACCAAGATACCACCTTGATCTAGGTTGTCAGGCTGCGGTTGGACGTGGCGCTCCGGACTGACCGTGCGGTGGCTCGCGCACGCTGCTCTACTGCTCGGTGTCTGTCGTGGCGGCGACAGCCAACTCGTATGCTTTGAGTTTTGCCTATCAAATGTTTTCTGCATCTTAAGTTTAGGATCTCATCTGGTATGTTTTTGTCTGTTTGTTTGTATTTTCTTCTTCCAGAGTGATGCTCAAACTCAAGCGCTTTGCGCTTTTGCATCCCTCTGCTGCATTCTTCCAGAATCTTTCTGTCTTTGATAATAAACATTGTGTGTGTGTGTGTGTGTGTGTGTGGAATCGCATGGTTGGCAACACAACGCAAGTAAAAATGGGCTTCCTTGATGAACCTACTTTTTAAGCATTG